TGGAAATTTCCTTGAAGGCAGATATTTTCTCTGAGAATTCCCCCAAATTTTATAACTTATGCTGATATAGCCCCGGGTTTATCTTATTTCCCCAAAATGCTGTAATTTACTTACCATTTGTTATTTAATTTTCTCCCAAAAGTCTTGAAATAAAACTTAAGCTTCAGGGGTGCCTGGGTGGCTCAGTCGTTAAGCGTCTGCCTTCGGCTCAGGTCATGATCCCGGAGTCCTGGGATCGAGCCCCGCATCGGGCTCCCTGCTCCGCGGGAAGCCTGCTTCTCCCTCTCCCACTCCCCCTGCTTGTGTTCCCTCTCTCGCTGTCTCTCTGTCAGATAAATAAATAAAATCTTAAAAAAAAAAATCATTTATAAAACAAAAGTGTTTTTTTTTCTTAAAGATTTTATTTGAGAGCGGGAGACCACAAGCAGGGGAATGGCAAAGGGAGAAGGAGAAAGCAGGCTCCCCAGTGAGCAGGGAGCCCAACATGGGGCTCGATCCCAGGACCCCAGGCTCGGGATCATAACCCAAGCTGAAGGCAGACATTTAACTGAGCCACCCAGGCACCCCAAAAAGTTTTTAAAATTTCATCTTCAGGGGTGCCTGGGTGGCTCAGTCGTTAAGCGTCTGCCTTCGGCTCAGGTCATGATCCCGGGGTCCTGGGATCGAGCCCCGCATCGGGCTTCCTGCTCTGGGGGAAGCCTGCTTCTCCCTCTCCCACTCCCCCTGCTTGTGTTCCCTCTCTCGCTGTGTCTCTGTCTGTTAAATAAATAAATAAATAAATAAATAAATAAATAAATAATCTTAAAAAAACAACAAAAACGTAAGCTTCAGAAAGGGGCCCGCCATAGTAGCATGTGTCTCTTCGTTTGAGCATTTGATAAAGGATTTGACCTTGAAGTAGTTGCTTTACAAGATCGTAAGGAATTTGTTAGCCTGCAAGATATTATGACAGTATTCTGCCTCTGGTGGGTGGCATGTTTTAATTATAGGAGAGAATATATGGAGCATTTATATCTACTTAATTTGCAAGAGGCAATATTTTCAAGTTAGGCGGCATAACTTGGTGATTAACAAAACAAAACAAAACCAGCCTCCTGAGTCATGCAGACCTGGCTTGGAATCTGGGTTCTATTGCTTGTTCATTCTGATTTTATACAAATTAACCTCTCTAAGCTTTAGTTTTCCCACCTATCACACAGAGATGGCAAGAATAATGTTACCTGCCTCACAGGGTTATCGGGGGTATTGAGCAGACTATTGCTTAAGCCCCTTGGCATTGTGACTGGTACATAGTAGGTGCTCAGTAAATAAATATGTGGGCCAGAGACCCAGATCAGCAAGCAGGTGATTACAGAGCACAGTGAGAAATGCTGTAGCAGGGCATACCAGGTCCTGTGGGAATCCCTAGAGGGACACTGGGGAAGGCTTCCTGAAGCAAGTGACATTGAATTTGGGCAGCTGAAAGGAGGTCTGGGAGTATTACAGGCAGCAGGCGGTATAGTGAGAGGGCTCAGATGATGTCAGGAATAGGGGGGTGGGGTGAGAGATAAGGCTGTAAATGGCAGGAGCAACAAGATCGTGCAGGACCAGCTAGCCATGAAAGAAAGTTCATCTTTCACCCAGAGAGCAATGCGGACCATTGGAGAGCTCTAAGCAGGGCCGTATCAGATCAGACATGCAAGACTGGGGGCAGGGAGACCGGTGAGGAGGTGAGAGGTGGCTTGGCCTGGACTGGGGTTGGCCTGGAGAAGGAGAAAGTGGCCATACTGGTGAGACATTAGGAGACAGTGATAAGACAGGACTGAGTGGAAGTTGGTGGAAGGAGATGGAGAGGATGACCCCGACGGAGTACACGGTGGTAGCTTTCACCAAGACAGGGACAGAGAAGGAGCCAGAGCCGGGGGCAGGGTACAAGAGGATGAGCTCAGTTTTAGACAATGTAGAGTTTGAGAGGTCTGTCTGTGAGATAAGCATCTGAAACCATCCCACGGGCCTTTGGATACATAGACCTTAAACTAGAAAAGGGTCTGAACTGGAGCTAGAGCCTTGGAAGATGTGGTAGCCTCAGTGATGGTCCCCAAAGATATGCAGGTCCTAATCCCTGGAACCTATAAATATTATCTCATATACCAAAAGGAATTTTGCAGATGTGATTAAGGATCCTGAGATAGGGAAATTATTGTGGATTAGCTGGGCGGATCCTAAATGTAATCACAAATGTGCTTATAAAATGGAGACTGAGGGAGATTTGACTGCAGAAACGAAAGCAGTATGATATGACACAGAAGCAAGATGCCCTTGAAGATGGAGGAAGTTGGCTATAAGCCAAAGAATGTGAGAAATGTAATTCTAGAAGCTGGGAAAGGTAAGGAAATGGATGCCCACCTACTGTCTCCAGAGGGAGTGCAGCCTTGCTGGTACTTTGATTTCCATGCTGTGAAACTCATTTCAGACTTCTGACCTCCAGGACTGTAAGAGAATAAAGTGTGTTGTTTGCAGCCACCAAGTTTGCAATAATTTGTTACAACCCCAGTAGGAAACTAACACAGAAAGCATCAACATTAATGGTGTGAAGGAAGCTGGTGGGGATGGATGAAAGTGTCCAGAAGGCCTGCGTGGAGTGAGAAGAGTAAAGGGGTCTAGCAGAGAGCTCCCAATGATTCCAGCATTTAAGATACATGCAGAGGAAGACCATCTGAGAAAGGGCCCCGAGGAGCAGCCAGAGAGGGAGGAAGACCACCAAGGAAAGTAACTGTCTCAGAATTCAAAGGAAAGAGTGTTTCAAGAAGGAGGGAGTGGTTAACAGTGCAAAATACTCCTAGAAGTCAAGCAAGAAAAGTGCCTGTTGCCTTTCAAGAGAGAGATCCTCGTTGACCTTGAAATAACTCTGGAGGGATTCCTGCTGAAAGCAAACTGGAGTAAGTTGAAGGGTGACTGAGTTGTATTTCACAGCATATTTGTCCTATCTCCTCCATCAGACTGTACACAATTTTTCAACTTTTAATTCTATTACACAAGAAGTATATGCTCCTTACAGAGAAGTTAGGATATACAAATTAGCCAAAAGAAAAAATTACTCATAATGTCCTCAGCAGGTAGTATCTTAGTGTATATTTTTTTAGTGTTTTTTTCCTATGTAGAGTATGTAATACTCTCAATCACCTTATGGAGTAAAATACTATTAGGCCACTTTAAGAGTGGAAAATTTAGGTTTGGAGGAGCCTGGGTGGCTTAGTTAAGCCTGGGACTCTTGATTTTGCCTCAGCTCATGATCTCAGGGTTGTGAGATCAGCCCCGTTGGGCGTGGAGTCTGCTTAAGATTTTCTCTCTCCCTCTGCCCCTCCCCCTGCCTCTCTCTCCCACTCAAAAAAAAAAAAAAAAGAGAGAGAAAGAAAAAGAAAATTCAAGTTTAGCGAAGCAAGCATATTTACTCAGCTGCACACAGCTGGTCGACTGCAGCCATCTGGATTAGAACTCCGATCTATCCAATACCAAAGCCAATATTCTTCATCGCAGTGCTTCCCTGACTTTTTTTTTTTTTTTTACCTGAAGAAATCCTTTCCATACGACTTCAGGCTCCAGAACAAAACCTAAATGGATTTCTATCCTGAACCCCGTTCCTCATCCACCCAAGATATAGGTGGTTCCCAACAGGCAAGGGTTAATAGTGGGGAAGAGTGGCCGTCTTCAGCCGGGTGGACAGTGAGCAGGGTTGAGGAGTGAAAGGCACCATACTGAGCCCAAGAAGAATGAGGGCACGGTGAGAGGGTCCGCAAAGGGCGAGCGGGTTGCTCAGCGCTTATTCGCTACACGCACGTGTTAGTTTTGTTT